GCTTCGTAATATTTCTGTACAGTCTCTACTCTTCTAATTATTAAAAAAAAGTAATCAATGTGTATATTATTTACTACGTTATTTATATTGTTTTCACAAAAACATTCCAAAGTTTCAAACATAGCTATCGAAAATCGAGGAAACACAAACATCATCTTTAACTCGGTCAATATCTTTTTGTATGACGTCGTAGCATCATCATCGCTAGACAAAAAGCAGAGTAATAACAACAGCTGTGAGACTGACCTTAAAACTGGAATAGTTGGATGAAGAGAGCGTGAGGTGTTTAGGGGAGAGTGTAGCCAAGTGTGTCATGAAGCACAGCAGGTGCAGACTAGCGCCTCACCAGGGAACACAATACACCTTCACTACATCTCTCCTTTATAACACCTATTCTGTTGGGTTTAGACTCTCCACTACACATTTTGTTAGGGTTAAAGTCTCTCAGTTGCATCAGGGATATTATAGCTATATTCTACTTGTACGCTTACATAAAAAATACCTTTGCTGTATATAGAATAGAGCTTATATTTAACTCATTTAGTTTGTCATGTTTGGAGTTTGTTGGCTACAAGTGAGTCATTAAGGTTGCGATTCATTTAGAATCCCTTATTTAGTGCTATTAAAGCAAATTCTCAGAGTATATACACTAGTAAGCAACGATTCGGTTATACATCTCAGAATATATACAAAGTCTATCTCATGAAGTGCATGGACTGAGAATAGAAATGTATATGCATTTCGAGGGGTATTATCTCAGAATGTATACACGTAAAGGTTAACTTACTCTCTGTATTCGTATTAAAGCATCCTTGACTGATGGTATACAGGTGACATGCAACCTTAATAAACTTTGTGTATTATATAGGTTTTAAGCCAAATAAACCAACCAACAGATTCATTATACTGTATATATCCTGTGTGTGTGATCGCAGCTGTGTTTGTACACCTTTCGGTATACACACTGTCTGCTGTTCTTGTTTCTGCTCTAGTAAACAAGTCTCATACGCTGCTAAATAACTACTCTGTAATCATAACCGCAGGTGCATGATCTCTCATATCCCAGTAATTATTACTTTATTTCCTGAGAATTACTAAATTTGAAAAGAAAAACTCTCGTTTTTCTTTTTAGGTCACCCTGCCTTGGTGGCATACGGCCTAAGCACCAAGATTCTCTTCTTGCTTCGATGTCTGTTAGGGTCACAATCGTTTGGTGAAATATTTTGATTGCACGATCAGATTCTGCGTTCGGTGTATGGGTTGATTTTTATTAAATTAACCGTTTTAATGAGGGTAGAAAATGTGATAGCTCACGTATGGTAGACCAGGCGGTGCACACCCCTGCTAGCAGGTGCTTACTTGTGAAGATACAGTCTGGTGTCAGCCACACTACACTTCTTACAAATGTGGTCATATTTATGTCTCATGCGAGTGGTTGGTTAGCTGGCAGACTGTTCCTGGCTTGTGGTGTAGTGCTTGCGCTGATCACCGCTTCTCAAATTACTGAAAAAGCGCATTTAATAACAATTTGCTGAATTACTCGCACGTTTTTAAAATAAAATAATAATAATAATAATAATAATAATAATAATAATAATAATAATAATAATAATAATAATAATAATAATTAATAACTATTATAAAGTTATTTCCAAGTTTGGGTAGGTACATTTGGATCGTATTTGTTTGAGTGAATATTAGATAACAAGCAAAGATTGTTTAGGAATGAATATACGATATTCTGCTTGTGTATAATCATTGAAATAGTAAAAGATAAAAAGTAACCTACAGAGCAGGGTATGATTTATTCATGAACAAGTGCTAAACCCGTTAAGATCTAACACACTGAAATTTAGGGAATGATGAAGTGTTAGGTAATTCATGACTGGAGTGTTTGGGAGGTAGGATAAACATCCATAGATACACCAGCAACAGCCACTATCTCACACAAACATAACTAATTTATTCCTGTAAAATGGAGTATAGTATATAATTGATATCTGGGTATAAACTGCATTGCAGAAAGTCCCTTACTATGCAGAGCATTTAGGACAGCCTTAAAATTACTTACAATAACTAGACAATGAGACAAGTATAGAAAGTTACTGTTTGTCATATTTAACATTTAAACACTGTGACAATTTGATTATGACAGTTTGGTTAATATATGTTGAAACAGATTGGTGATCGTGTGAACATCGGCACGAATTCTAATATTTGGATCAAGGGGTTGCTAATGATATGTGAGGCCTAAACATAAATTGTCCAAATCGAGTTTAAGTCAGATTTAGGAGGTGGTTTCTGACAATATTCTTGAAGTTGGTGGCAGGAGAAATTTTTTGCATTTAGAAGGGAGTTCCAAATTTTATGCCCCTTTATTTTCATGAAGTCTCTGAAAAGGTATACCAAAGAGTGTTATATATATATATATATATATATATATATATATATATATATATATATATATATATATATATATATATATATATATATATATATATATATTTGTATATATATATATATATATATATATATATATATATATATATATATATATATATATATATATATATATATATATATATATATATATATATATATATATATATATATATTTTCAACCAGTCGGCCGTCTCCCACCGAGGCAGGGTGACCCAAAAAAGAAAGAAAATCCCCAAAAAGAAAATACTTTCATCATCATTCAACACTTTCACCACACTCACACATTATCACTGCTTTTGCAGAGGTGCTCAGAATACAACAGTTTAGAGCATATACGTATAAAGATACACAACATATCCCTCCAAACTGCCAATATCCCGAACCCCTCCTTTAAAGTGCAGACATTGTACTTCCCATTTCCAGGACTCAAGTCCGACTATATGAAAATAACCGGTTTCCCTGAATCCCTTCACTAAATATTACCCTGCTCACACTCCAACAGATCGTCAGGTCCCAAGTATCATTCGTCTCCATTCACTCCTATCTAACACGCTCATGCACGCTTGCTGGAAGTCCAAGCCCCTCGCCCACAAAACCTCCAAAATTTTTAATTTTGCACCAAAAGAATCTTAGAAAACTTACCTAACCTTATTATAACAAGAGCAATTTATTTTAGCCTAACCCAACTAAATATATTTTAGATTCGTTTACAGTAATTTAATACTAAACAAACACAGTGAAATATATTTTTTTCGTTAGATTCAGAATGATTTTGGCGAAATTATTGCATACACAAATTTTCACTTGTCTTATATGGCAAGATGAGCGTTGCTATTTAAGCCAAGATCGCAAGTTCTGCCTATTCGGCACGATATATATATATATATATATATATATATATATATATATATATATATATATATATATATATATATATATATATATATATATATATATATATATATATATAAACACTGATCTCTGGCTGAAGCGAATTCCTTGCATATATATATATATATATATATATATATATATATATATATATATATATATATATATATATATATATATATAAGTGCACAGTGGTAAATATGGATGTGTAGCATGTTCATAAGTTGAAACTTAAGTAGTGGGGAGGGAGGGGGATGTTGTTGTTGTTGTTGTCTGGAACTTGAATGGGTGATCATTCTAATAGCTGATTTCTGTTGGATAACATTGGGTTTACTTTTAGGTAATTTGCCGTAGATCCTCAAGCACAAATACCGAAATGAAGGAGAGATTAGTAGTACAGAGTAATATCGAAGTACTATATCATTTTTTTGGTAGTTCTTTGGGAATTAAGCCCATTCTGTTTTGTTTTTCATATGTATGTTTCCTGTCAATGGATCTAAGGAGGTTATTAGTTAGTAAGGGCTATTTAGTCTTTTAATTGTGACCTGTTTGTTTTTTTAAGGGACAGTGCTTGTTGAAGAGGCATTGCATTTTTTTTTTAAGAAAAATTTTGACATATTGAGTGAACATCCGGAATAAAACTGGATACATCAATGTGCTACAACCCTATTCTATGATAGTTACACCGTGAGAATAAAAACAATGTTCCCCTGTCACATTGAAAGTGATGCAACATTAGAGAAGGGAGGGATGGAGAGAGTCAGGACCGAGACACACCACACTGGAACACTTATGGAGAAGGGAAGGAATTTAGAAAATAAGACTGCTAGTAATTGAAGCATTTAGAAATTTTAGATCAATTATGCACTTCCGCATTTTCAAGGGGAAGGTATACTAAATGTGGTGCAAATTAGCACACCCAAACACCGTGAAATAGGTCTCAGTATGGTTCACGCTGTGGTGCACTTAAGTACTCCATCAACATATGGATGTTTTTACCTAATTTCCATCACTCCTGGATCCACCAATGGTTTGTGCTCACAACAACCATTTTCAAAACAGGAGGTCAATTAAACAAGTGCAAATAGTTTTTTGAGGGAATCTGCCGAGAAACTGGGACTTAGACGAGTGTACAATGAACAATGACAATTGTTTAGATAGCCGTTACTAACGTCCATGTCGAAAATGACCATGAAATAAACTGTCATGTTACTAGTGTATCGACACGAACGACGCGCATCGTGTTTCTTACATCTATTATTATTATTATTATTATTATTATTATTATTATTATTATTATTATTATTATTATTATTATTATTATAAGAGGCACTAAACCTAGAGAGGCCATACAGCAGCTTTGAAATGCGAGGTAATTATGTTTGATCCAAGGAAAAGAAGGGCAGCTTCACTTGCTTAGACCACGAGCCCTTAACCGGCATCAAGACACCTCCGTAAACTACATAATAATAATAATAATAATAATAATAATAATAATAATAATAATAATAATAATAATAATAATAATAATAATAATAATGTAAGTAATAACAATACTGCTACTAATAATAAATTAACAGTATGGAAGTAGTGCAGAATGATTTTGGTTCCTCATTACCAAATACGGTAAGTACTAGAGTACTAAATGTTGTTTGTGTCTTCCACAGCAAGATGAGTCGAGGTGTGATGATGTTGGTGATGATGTGTGTCATGGCGGTAGCCTTTACTCTAGTCTCAGCCAACGAGTACCGTCAACACTCCAGCGAGTACCACCAACCCTCCAACGAGTACTATCAACCCTCCAAAGAGTACCGCCAACCCACCACAACCGTCCAGCAGGTGACATGAACCTTCACTTCAACAAGTAGCACTTCTTCTCTAATAAACAAGTGTTTGATTTTTTAGATTGTCGCACTGAATAATTATTTATTTATAACGTGGATAAGTATTAGTAAGCAAGGTTATGTAGGTGTATATATCTTAGTATATATATTAAAGGGATTAAAGTATGTTTGACTGGTGGTGTACAGGAGACACGCAGCCTTCATGACTCTCGATGGCCTATAAGCCCAATAAATCAACTTAGTGACATTAATTATAAATTTACAATCAGTAATAATTATGTTCTGTAATAGATACAATATTATGATGACTCTTACTTACAGGTGCAACAGTCCAGTAATACGCAAGTCTGGTAGTGTGCACACACACACACATACACCAAAAGTTGTATATAAACTGCTCATTTTCCTTCCTATTTTAAGGATTAAAATATATTTATTTGACTATGTATGAGTAAAATTCAACATAAATGACCTACCAAACCAATCAACTAATTTTTATAGTTGGTTATATATCGTGTACACTATTTAGTACATAAGGGGTTTATATAGTGCAAACTAGTTAGTACATAACTGTGGTTTATGTAGTTCATACTAGTTAGTACATAAGTGGGGTTTATAAAGGTATACTATAAACCTCTTCACAACCTAAACCTCATTTCCACACAGCTTAAGTCTGTCCACACACATCAAGCCACCCCAGGCACTAAACTTGCTAAACTTGATTAGTATCTCACGATAATTTGTACTGGTTGTGGACAGACTCCTGGTATCCTGGAGAGGCTGATGACGGATTACGTGTACCCTCTGCGAGACTACGACTGGAGGGGCATGCTGAGGAGCTTCGTAGATAGAGTGATGCATTACATCGCTCCAGCCACCAAGGAACCCAAGCATGGACTTGGGGTGAGTTCCTTAACGATAATCTCAATTTTTAAAGGGGTGAACCGTGTAAGAAAGCCTCTGTCAGATGACCAAAAGTTCCCATGGCAGATCAGCATATGACTGACGCCCACGTCAGGAAACACTTGTCCTGTTTCCTGACGGTGAGTCAGGGGCGAGTTTGATGAATAGAAAAGGAGTTAGATATAACAAGAGAAAGGAGAAAGCTATTTTATTAGGTTGAAGATGAAATGGGAAGGACGGAGAAGTGAAGGAAGGAAGGAATTAAGAGTGAAAAAAGAGAGAACATGGGTAAGGAAGGATAACTCGTGAGTCTAGAAAGACGACGTAAGAACTATCAACTCTCAATGTTTGTAGAATAGTATTTTTAAGAATTTTGATTAAGTCAAGAACTGGAGGAGTGAATGAAACTTAGATGTAGCAGATGACTGTGCTAACCACAAGGCTCACCCACATTACCTTGATAAAGCCCACTTTGTGGGCAAAAGATTTTACTTAGTAAATATATTCACAACTAGGCGAGTACAGATAGTAAGATCGTTTGTTAAGCGCTCAGCAGATTGAGGATCAGCCTTCCACCAAGTCTGTCTGGCACTGAATGACCCACATAGGCTCAGCGCTTAACATGAATTATTAAATTATTAAGTAAATGTATCCACTGTATGGAAAAAACTTTGTGGTTAATAAAGGTATGTGTACTCACCTAATTGTGGTTGCAGGGGTCGAGATTCAGCTCCTGGCCCCGCCTCTTCACTGACCGCTACTGGGTCCTCTCTCTCTCCCTGCTCCATGAGCTTTATAATACCTCGTCTTAAAACTATGTATGGTTCCTGCCTCCACTACATCACTTGCCAGACTATTCCACTTCCTAACAACTCTGTGGCTGAAGAAATACTTCCTAGCATCCCTCTGGCTCATCCGAGTCTTCAACTTCCAATTGTGACCCCTTGTTTCTGTGTCCCCTCTCTGGAACAACCTGTCTCTGTCCACCTTATCTATTCCACGCAGTATTTTGTATGTCGTTATCATGTCACCCCTGACCCTCCTGTTATCCAGTGTCGTCAGACCGATTTCCCTTAATCTTTCTTCGTAGGACAATCCCTTTAGCTCAGGAACCAGCCTTGTTGCAAACCTTTGCACTTTCTCTAATTTCTTGACGTGCTTGACCAGGTGTGGGTTCCAAACTGGTGCTACATACTCCAGTACGGCCTGACGTACACAGTGTTTAGAGTCTTGAACGATTCCTTACTGAGGTATCGGAACGCTAATCTCAGGTTTGCCAGGCGCCCATATGCCGCAGCAGTTATTTGGTTAATGTCTGGTCCTCATCTGATTTAATTCTCCTTATTAAATTCACATCATCTGCTAATAAGGACACTTCTGAGTCTATCCCTTCCGCTATGTCATTCACTTATATCAAGAATAGCACTGGTTCTAGGACTGACCCCTGTGGGACCCCGCTCGTGTGTGTGTGTGTGTGTACTCACCTAGTTGTGGTTGCAGGGGTCGATTCATAGCTTCTGGCCCCGCCTGTGTGTGTGTGTGTGCGTGTGTACTCACTTACATGTGGTTACAGGGGTTGATTCACAGCTCTTCACCCCCTCTTCGCTAGTTACTACTAGGTCCACTCCCTCCCGGGTCCAAGAGCCTTATCGTACCTCTTCTTAAAACTATAAATGAATCCTGCCTCCACTACTTCACTCTCCAGATTCTTCCACGTCATGACAACTCTACGGCTGAAGAAATACTTCCTAATATCCCTATAACTCATCTGAGTTTTCAACTATTTGTGTGTGTGTGCGTGAATACACGTGTTTCAAAATATGTAGGAATATATAAGTGTACGATAACACGTAAATGTCCATTTAAATTGAAAACCAGACTTAGGGTGAACGTTTCCAGATAGTGGAGGATGTTAATGTAGGTATAGGTAGGTATGGAGGTGTTAATGTGAGTTTACAATTAGGGGTCACTTACAAATGTAATGCAGAGCAAGACTGCAGCAGTATACCAGGAGTATACATGGAGGGGGTTCGGGGTTCAACGCCCCGCGGCTCGGACCGTGGCCAGGCCTCGTGGCGGATCAGGGCCTGATTAACCAGGCTATTACCTCTGGCCGCACGTAAACCAACGTACGAGCCACAGCCCGGCTGGTCAGATATATATATAATATATATATATAATATATATATATATATATATATATATATATATATATATATATATATATATATATATATATATATATATATATATGTATGTATAATATATATATATATATATATATATATATATATATATATATATATATATGTATATATATATATATATATGTATATATATATATATATATATATATATATATATATATATATATATATATATATATATATATAATATATATACATATGTATATATATATATATATATATATATAAAATATATATATATATATATATATATATATATATATATATATATATATATATATATATATATATTACAGCTAAAGTGTAATACATTGCTTTTCAAGCATAAATACTGCATGTCCATGGTATATAAATAATTTTAGTTACATGTTCTTTTCACGAGACTAAGAACATCTCTCCTTTAGTCGGTGGCTCATGTGTCACACTTGAGTGAAGGGGAGTGACCTGTTGGAGTCACGGTGGTTGATGTGTAGTGTTGGTATGCCAGGGTGCATTTGTGACCTGGGTGAAGGTATAGTAGTGACCTGGGTGGTGTAGTTGTGACCTGGGTCATAGTGTAGTAGTGACCTGGGTGGTGTAGTTGTGACATGGGTGATGGTGTAGTAGTGACCTGGGTGGTGTAGTTGTGACCTGGGTCATGAAGTAGTGCCCTGGGCGGTGTAGTTGTGACCTGGGTGATGGTGTAGTAGTGACCTGGGTGTAGTTGTGACCTGGGTGATGGTGCAGTAGTGACCTGGGTGGTGTAGTTGTGACCTGGGTCATGGTGAAGTAGTGTCCTGGGTGGTGTAGTTGTGACCTGGGTGATGGTGTAGTAGTGACCTGGGTGTAGTTGTGACCTGGGTGAAGGCGTAGTAGTGACCTGGTATCAAGCTGAGTAGTGGGCCATGGTGTAGTGGAGGTGTGAGTGGCTGTAACACGAGTAAACATGAAGTACACTGACATTCTTGCACGAGTCATGACAGGATAAGTCACACATTATTCTCGGTAAATTTAATTTAGGGGTTATAATGCCTGGGGAATATGAGTTAATCAAGCTCAATCCTATGAGTCGGAGAACAGATCCAGATCCTTGGATGAAGAGTCCCTCACTGGCATCAAGGCACTCCCTTAAGTGTTGACGGGAATGTGAGAAAAGTGGGGCGACTACCGCTAGGGACGGCACCTCAGCTTCCCAAGTATCAACGTAACTCATCTCCTGCTGATGGCTGGCCCACATTATTCACGTTAATTTAAAAACTAAATATAGGGGGAAAATTTCTTGAAGGCTGAAATATATTAAGATTACGAGTGTGGTCTGGCAGTAATAATGAATAGAAATTCCATTGTTTTATTGCTATATTTATGACTGCCACAGTCGGAGGTGTGCAGATATGTGCTCTAATGCGCCTCATTCTTCCCGACTCCTACCAGTCTTCTAGTTGTACAGTATTATAACCTATTAGTAAAGTTTCACTTCATAATGTTGATATTTGTAAGTTTCCTCTGATAAACTCTGCTTACTCATAGTGAAATATTTGATGATATCGTCGCCCTCCTGAAGTCTCCTATCTCAGCTTCACAATTTTCATAACCTCATGAATGATACACAACCTCTGTGATGGAGCATGACATAAAATCATCTTACGTGATGGCAGTGTTAGTTTAATAATTGTTCCTTTAACACTCTTAAATGTTAAACCAATAGCTACGTTTGCCTTACAATAAACAGTTATCAAAATTCCCTTCGAAAAATTTCAGAGAATTGATTAAACTGGACTATTATTGTTATTATTATTATTATTATTATTATTATTATTATTATTATTATTATTATTATTATTATTATTATTATTATTATTATTATTACATTCATGGGGGAGCACAAGGAGTGGTGATGGCTCTGTTTTCCGTCCACTATTCTGACCTGGTGTCTGTTCAATCAGACTGCTGTTATATTAATTAAGCATCTTACCTCGCCCCTCTGTTTCTGCAGTTGATGTACCTTCCTCACCGTTCTCTCCTCCAACAGGCACAAGACCGAGCGGCCGTGTTGGTGAGGAGGGTCCTCAGTCGTGCAGTGCATTACGTAGAGTCTTTCCTCGCCTGAACACCGACACTCACCCTCTCCAGCCTCGCCTATTTCACCGATCTCTCTCACCCATAACATACTCTCACATTTGCCATAATAGATCGTGGACGCGCACTTACCATAGCTCTTATATTGAGCGCATCACCACTGACACTCGAGCTCTCTAACCGTCATAGCATCATTCTCACATACGTCACACAACAACACTGACCTGGCCCACACAGCCTTGGGTCTTACCTCACAGTGTATGGACGGTGCCATCTTCCTGTCTCACCTTTGCTAGCTTGGTCCTGCACTGCTTACTCCCATTTTGCCGTCACCCTGCAAATACAATCCACTTTTAAGTATTTCATCCTACTGTCTTAACAAGGTAGCTGCCCGTCATAGTGTGTAAAAATCTCTCAGGTAACTGACTTTTTTAGTTTAGTTTCAGGGGACACTTGTAAGATCTTCATAAACATTGGCAGGACATGACAAATACTTTCAATTTTGTATTAATATATTATTAATTTGTTCTAAATTGTACGAATTAACGTAACTTTCCTGTATAAATTATAACGAGTTATTTTGTAATGTTCTAGGAATAAATAATACTAGATGTCAATGTGACTGTAAAATTTAAGTAAGCTTGTATTTGCTTCTTTTATACCATAGTCACTTGCATTTATAATGTAAGCCAGTGGAGGATTACCATTATTATTATGCATCACTGAGTTAGTTTAATATCTTTATTATGCACCCCATACCCATCCTGTGGGTCGTAGTCAAAAGATTACAGAGGCACATAATGGGTACATCTCTAATAAGTATCTTTTCAAGCCTCTGTCATCCCATGTCATCTTGTGACTTTGGGATATACAGCATTACATTATAAATGGTGGAGAATCCGAGGTGGGACCTGAAGAACTTGTACATCTCTGGCTCATCAGAGAAAACGAACAAGGGAATAAGAAGGACCCAAGAAGTGCCTTCAAGAGCAACATCTTTTGGATGGACTCTTCATCTTCTTCTCCATCATTTCCACAGGCTAACCAGCACATCCAGCCCCAAGATGACCACGCTTCCAGCGTCGTAGACACTAAACTGCCAGCTAACCTTGAAGGCGATACACAAGATAGGATGTCGACGTTGCCATGGTCTCAAGAGGAGAGCTTTCGATTCTTTGGATCATCATTCACCCTAAATAGCAATGTCAACGCCTCCTTAGCCTGCTACACCTGGGTATATTCGGGCATCTTGGTGTTGTTCGGTCTCATTAGTTTCCTGTCGGTGATCATCCCGCTCATCAAATATCAGACCTACGAACAAATGAAGACACCGCAATCGGCTGGCATCAAGTACGAATCAAATATGAGTGAGGAGACAAGTTCGGATGATATGGCATACACGATGGCACACATCATGGAGCTTACCACGGGAGAGAGAAAACCAGGATACTACAGTATGTACAGCAGTGATAAGGATGATAACGTTTTTCATGATCAATGAGACTCACGGTGAATGATGCAGTGTCTTCTGATTACCGTGTGAGATCATGAACATCAGGGAAATGTTCTTACTGTTATAATCACTAATTAGTTACATTTAGTACACACTAGCGATGTTATAGCCATGTGGGTATAGTATCTTTTTGTGAAAATAAAAATAGTAATAATAATAATAATTAGAAAGAGAAATACTTAATAGCTCTAGCAGTTTGTATCTAAGCTGAAAGCGTATTAGACACAATTTAGCATTACTATGTTAGTGAGATTCTGTAAGTCCTCTTGAACTACAGATAATTTCATATCGATTATTTGACTGTTTGATGCATGATGTAAACTTATTGTTTATATATACTGAGAAAAATAAAGTACTGTGTTGTGAATCGTAACGATATCTAAGATGACAACAGTTTTAATAAGCTCTGTAGAATGATTATTTTGTCTAACTCAACATTCATCATACAGCAGAGTTCTTAACTCACATAAAAAACCACGGAGGTGACCAAATTTACATATGTATTGCTGTTAACTGTTTACTACCCAGGACTGCCTCCAACACACCCATTAAGGGGCTGTTCCTCTGAGCATCAGTTAGTGATTGTGATCATTGTTTTCCCTTCACTCGATATCACAGTATAATAATGTGATCTTGTCAGGTTTAGAACGTGGTGCTGCTGAGAACTGAAGATAAACAGATTTGATCTAAGATCCTTGATGTATCTGGCCCAGGCAGTATGGTGTATCTAACCCAGGCAGTGTGGTGTATCTGGCCTAGGCAGTATGGTGTATCTGGCCCAAGCTGTGGTACATCTGGCCCAGGCAGTGTGGTGTATCTGGCCCAAGAAGTATGGTGTATCTGGCCCAGCCAGTATGGTGTATCTGGTCCAAGCTGTGGTATATCTGCCCAAGGCAGTGTGACGTACCTGGCTCAGGCAGTGTGGTGTACCTGGCTCAGGCAGTGTGATGTATCTGACCCAGGAAGTGTGGTGTACCTGGCTCGGGCAGTGTGATGTACCTGGCTCAGGGTGTGGTGTACCTGGCTCAGGCAGTGTGACGTATCTGACCCAGGAAGTGTGGTGTACCTGGCTCGGGCAGTGTGATGTATCTGACCCAGGAAGTGTGGTGTATCTGGCCTAGGCAGTGTGGTGTATCTGGCCCAAGCTGTGGTGTACCTGGCCCAAGTTGTGGTATATCTGGCCTAGGCTGTGGTACACCTGGCACATGCAATGTAGTGTACCTGGCTTAGGTTGTGGTGTGCCTGGCCCAGGCAATGTGGTGTACCTGGCTCAGGGTGTGGTGTACCTCGCCCAGGGTGTGGTGTACATGGCCCAGGCAATGTGGTGTACCTAGCCCAGGGTGTGGAGTACCTGGCCCAGGGTGTGATGTACCTGGCCCAAGGTGTGGTGTATCTGGCCCAGGGTGTGATGTACCTCGCCCAGGGTGTGGTGTACCTGGCCCAGGGTGTGGTGTACCTAGCCCAGGGTGTGGTGTACCTGGCCCAGGGTGTGATGTACCTGGCCCAAGGTGTGGTGTATCTGGCCCAGGGTGTGGTGTACCTCGCCCAGGGTGTGGTGTACCTGGCCCAGGGTGTGGTGTACCTGGCCCAGGGTGTCGTGTACCTGGCCCAAGGTGTGGTGTATCTGGCCCAGGGTGTGGTGTACCTCGCCCAGGGTGTGGTGTACCTGGCCCAGGGCGTTGTGTACCTGGCCCTGGGCGTGGTGTACCTGGCCCAGGGTGTGGGGTACCTGGCCCAGGGTGTGGTGTACCTGGCAAGGGTGTGGTGTACCTGGCCCAGGGTGTGGTGGACGTGGCCCAGGGTGTGGTGTACCTGGCCCAGGGTGTGGTGTACCTCGCCCAGGGTGTGGTGTACCTGGCCCAGGGTGTGGTGTACCTGGCCCTGGGCGTGGTGTACCTGGCCCAGGGTGTGGTGTACCTGGCCCAGGGTGTGGTGTACCTGGCCCAGGGCGTGGTGTACCTGGCCCAGGGTGTGGTGTACCTGGCCAAGGGTGTGTTGTACCTGGCCAAGGGTGTGGTGTACCTGGCCCAGGGTGTGGTGTACCTGGCCCAGGGTGTGGTGTACCTGGCCCAGGGTGTGGTGTACCTGGCCCAGGGTGTGGTGTACCTGGCCCAGGGTGTGGTGTACCTGGCCCAGGGTGTGGTGTACCTGGCCCAGGGTGTGGTGTACCTGGCCTAGGGTGTGGTGTACCTGGCCCAGGGGGTGGTGGACCTGGCCCAGGGTGTGGTGTATCTGGCCCAGGGTGTGGTGTACCTCGCCCAGGGTGTGGTGTACCTGTCCCAGGGTGTGGTGTACCTGGCCCTGGGCGTGGTGTACCTGGCCCAGGGTGTGGTGTACCTGGCCCAGGGTGTGGTGTACCTGGCCCAGGGTGTGGTGTACCTGGCCCAGGATGTGGTGTACCTGGCCAAGGGTGTGGTATAACTGGCCCAGGGTGTGGTGTACCTGGCCCAGGGTGTGGTGTACCTGGCCCAGGGTGTGGTGTACCTGGCCCAGGGTGTGGTGTACCTGGCCCAGGGTGTGGTGTACCTGGCCCAGGGTGTGGTGTACCTGGCCCAGGGTGTGGTGTACCTTGCCCAGGGAGTGGTGTACCTGGCCCAGGGTGTGGTGTATCTGGCTCAGGGTGTGGTGTACCTGGCCCAGGGTGTGGTGTACCTGGCCCAGGGTGTGGTGTACCTGGCCCAGGGTGTGGTGTACCTGGCCCAGGGTGTGGTGTACCTGGCCCAGGGTGTGGTGTACCTGGCCCAGGTGTGGTGTACCTGGCCCAGGGTGTGGTGTACCTGGCCCAGGGTGTGGTGTACCTGGCCCAGGGTGTGGTGTACCTGGCCCAGGGTGTGGTGTACCTGGCCCAGGGTGTGGTGTACCTGGCCCAGGGTGTGGTGTACCTGGCCCAGGGTGTGGTGTACCTGGCCCAGGGTGTGGTGTACCTGGCCCAGGGTGTGGGCGTACCTGGCCCAGGGTGTGGTGTACCTGGCCCAGGGTGTGGTGTACCTGGCCCAGGGTGTGGTGTACCTGGCCCAGGGTGTGGTGGACCTGGCCCAGGGTGTGGTGGACCTGGCACAGGGTGTGGTGTACCTGGCCCAGGGTGTGGTGTACCTGGCCCAGGGTGTGGTGTACCTGGCCCAGGGTGTGGTGTATCTGGCTCAGGGTGTGGTGTACCTGGCACAGGGTGTGGTGTACCTGGCCCAGGGTGTGGTGTACCTGGCCCAGGGTGTGGTGTACCTGGCCCAGGGTGTGGTGTACCTGGCCCAGGGTGTGGTGTACCTGGCCCAGGGTGTGGTGTACCTGGCCCAGGGTGTGGTGTACCTGGCCCAGGGTGTGGTGTACCTGGCCCAGGGTGTGGTGTACCTGGCCCAGGGTGTGGTGTACCTGGCCCAGGTGTGGTGTACCTGGCCCAGGGTGTGGTGTACCTGGCCCAGGGTGTGGTGTACCTGGCCCAGGGTGTGGTGTACCTGGCCCAGGGTGTGGTGTACCTGGCCCAGGGTGTGGTGTACCTGGCAAAGGGTGTGGTGTACCTGGCCCAGGGTGTGGTGTACCTGGCCCAGGGTGTGGTGTACCTGGCCCAGGGTTGTGGTTGTACCTGGCCCAGGGTGTGGTGTACCTGGCCCAGGGTGTGGTGTACCTGGCCCAGGGTGTGGTGTACCTGGCCCAGGGTGTGGTGTACCTGGCCCAGGGTGTGGTGTACCTGGCCCAGGGTGTGGTGTACCTGGCCCAGGGTGTGGTGTACCTGGCCCAGGGTGTGGTGTACCTGGCCCAGGGTGTGGTGTACCTGGCCCAGGGTGTGGTGTACCTGGCCCAGGGTGTGGTGTACCTGGCCCAGGGTGTGGTGTACCTTGCCCAGGGAGTGGTTGTACCTGGCCCAGGGTGTGGTGTACCTGGCCCAGGGTGTGGTGTACCTGGCCCAGGGTGTGGTGTTTCCTTGCCAGGGAGTGTGTACTGGCCCAGGGTGTGGTGTACCTGGCCCAGGGAGTGGTGTACCTGGCCCAGGGTGTGGTGTACCTGGCCCAGGGTGTGGTGTACCTGGCCCAGGCTCAGCATGGATTGTGATAAAATTTTAAGGTATTTGTTATGCTAGACTTCATTTATTATTCTATTTTTTGTTCTATTTATTGTTCTATTTATTGTTCTATTTATTGTTCTATTTATTGCTCTGTTTATTGCTCTTTTTATTGTTCTGTTTATTGTTTTATTTATTGTTCTATTTATTACTGTCTTTGTTGTCTGTTATGCATCCATATTATTTTAATAATAAAGTAATAAAGCATTTTAATAAACTAACTGGCACTTTATTAATCTTATATTTTGATATTATTATTATTATTATTATTATTATTATTATTATTAATATTTAAAGTACGGTCAAAGTGACATTAAATTTTGCATTACATAATTCCTTACCAGACGACAGTTAGTACTGAAGGTGTGCCGTAGTTGGAGTGCCAGTACACTCACCTCACACACTGAAGGTGTGCCGTAGCTGGAGTCCCAGTACACTCACCTCACACACTGAAGGTGTGCCGTAGCTGGAGTGCCAGTACACTCACCTCACACACTGAAGGTTTGCCGTAGCTGGAGTGCCAGCACACTCACCTCACACACTGAAGGTGTGCCGTAGCTGGAGTGCCAGTACACTCACCTCACACACTGAAGGTGTGCCGTAGTTGGAGTGCCAGTACACTCACCTCACACACTGAAGGTCTGCCGTAGCTGGAGTGCGAGCACACTCACCTCACACAGTGAAGGTGTGCCGTAGCTGGAGTGCCAGCACACTGGAGTGCCAGCACACTCACCTCACACAATGAAGGTGTGCCGTAGCTGGAGTGCCAGCACACTCACCTCACACAATGAAGGTGTGCCGTAGCTGGAGTGCCAGCACACTCACCTCACACAGTGAAGGTGTGCCGTAGCTGGAGTGCCAGCACACTCACCTCACACAATGAAGGTGTGCCGTAGCTGGAGTGCCAGTACACTCACCTCACACACTGAAGGTGTGCCGTAGCTGGAGTGCCAGCACACTCACCTCACACACTGAAGGTGTGCCGTAGCTGGAGTGCCAGTACACTCACCTCACACACTGAAGGTGTGCCGTAGCTGGAGTGCCAGTACACTCACCTCACACACTGAAGGTGTGCCGTAGCTGGAGTGCCAGTACACTCACCTCAAACACTGAAGGTGTGCCGTAGCTGGAGTGCCAGCACACTCACCTCACACAATGAAGGTGTTCCGTAGCTGGAGTGCCAGTACACTCACCTCACACAATGAAGGTGTGCCGTAGCTGGAGTGCCAGTACACTCACCTCACACACTGAAGGTGTGCCGTAGCTGGAGTGCCAGTACACTCACCTCACACACTGAAGGTGTGCCGTAGCTGGAGTGCCAGTACACTCACCTCACACACTGAAGGTGTGCCGTAGCTGGAGTGCCAGCACACTCACCTCACACACTGAAGGTGTGCCGTAGCTGGAGTGCCAGCACACTCACCTCACACACTGAAGGTGTGCCGTAGCTGGAGTGCCAGTACAAATCACCTCACACACTGAAGGTGTGCCGTAGCTGGAGTGCCAGCACACTCACCTCACACACTGAAGGTGTTCCGTAGCTGGAGTGCCAGTACACTCACCTCACACACTGAAGGTGTTCCGTAGCTGGAGTGCCAGTACACTCACCTCACACAAAGAAGGTGTGCCGTAGTTGGAGTGCCAGCACACTCACCTCACACACTGAAGGTGTGCCGTAGCTGGAGTGCCAGCACACTCACCTCACACACTGAAGGTGTGCCGTAGCTGGAGTGCCAGCACACTCACCTCACACACTGAAGGTGTGCCGTAGCTGGAGTGCCAGCACACTCACCTCACACACTGTAGGTGTCCCGTAGCTGGAGTGCCAGCACACTCACCTCACACACTGAAGGTGTGCCGTAGCTGGTGTGCCAGTACACTCACGTAACACACCGAAGGTGTCCCGTAGCTGGAGTGCCAGTACACTCACCTCACGCACTGAAGGTGTGCCGTAGCTGGAGTGCCAGTACACTCACGTAACACACCGAAGGTGTCCCGTAGCTGGAGTGCCAGTACACTCACCTCACACACTGAAGGTGTGCCGTAGCTGGAGTGCCAGTACACTCACGTAACACACCGAAGGTGTCCCGTAGCTGGAGTGCCAGTACACTCACCTCACGCACTGAAGGTGTGCCGTAGCTGGAGTGCCAGCACACTCACCTCACACACTGAAGGTGTGCCGTAGCTGGTGTGCCAGTACACTCACCTCACACACTGAAGGTGTGCCGTAGCTGGTGTGCCAGCACACTCACCTCACACACTGAAGGTGTGCCGTAGCTGGAGTGCCAGCACACTTACCTCACACACTGAAGGTGTGCCGTAGCTGGTGTGCCAGTACACTCACCTCACACACTGAAGGTGTGCCGTAGCTGGTGT